TAGTTCTAGCCTTCGCAGCCTCCTGCAGCAAGGAGTTCCACAGGTTGATTATTTGCTTTGTGAAGAAGAACTTTCTGTTAGTTTGAAGCCTGCTACCCATTCATTTCATTTGGTGTCCTCTAGTCCTTCTATTATGGGAACTAATGAAGAACTTTTCTTTATGCACCCTCTCCACACCACTCATGCTTTTATAGACCTCTATCATATCCCCCCTCAGTCTTCTCTTTTGTAAGCTGAAAAGTCCCAGTCTCTTTAGCCTCTCTTCATATGGGACCTGTTCCAACCCCCTGATCATTTTAGTTGCCCCCCCCTCTCCCATCCTCTCTCTTCCTCTCTCCCACCTTCTTATCCCAGTCTCCCCAAGTTTTGTTCAATAAAGAGAGTTTCTATTTTTGAACACACGTGTCCTTTATTTTGAACATCAGGAAGGGGGGCTAGGGAGGGGTAAGTGGAAGGAGGTGACGGAGGAATGGGGTACGAGCCCCTGATGGGGAGGACTGGGTTGGCTCTGCTGGCTCCCCGGGGTGGAAACTCTCCTGAAGCCCCTTGATTGACCCCCACTCCGGATGGCAGTCTGTGGTAAGTGCAGCCGGGCTGATGGCCGAGCGCTGTGATGTGCTGAGTGAGGGCACTCAGGGCACTCCAAGCCAGCACTGCTTTGCTGTCCCTCATCGAGTTAGACAAGCGAGCGGGGAACCCCTGAGAACTGTCTGTCCGGGGTGGGGGTCGGGTCCCTTTAAGCACAGCCCTCGGCTAGCCTGAGACAGCAGCTCCACGCTCTAAGTCCTAATCTGATGCCCTGCCGGCACTGCTTCCGGCCAGCCTTAACTTCGGTTCCAGGTCCACTCAATGTGGACATGCTAGTTCGAATTAGCAAAATGCTAATTCGAACTAGTGTTTAGGTCTAGATGCACTAGTTCGAATTAGCTTAGTTTGAATTAACTAATGCGAATTAAGTTAGTTCGAATTAGTGCTGTAGTGTAGACATACCCTATGAGAGCACAAGTAGAGCAAGCAGCACACTGATAGAATTCTTAACCTCCCCCAGCCTCATAAGAGTAACCCTGATAAATGAGCCTAATCCAGAGAATTGGGCAAATCTGGTAACAGCATGGCCACAGTCCTGGGCCCACTAACCAGAGCTCACATGGCCTTGCTCCAAGCACATCACCTGCAACAGACCCGAGAACTGTTTCTCTCTGCTCACAGATGGGGGCTAGGATTCAGGCACAGTGTCCCCTGGGATGACTGACCATCTCTCTTTATTCTCCACAGCCGGAACAGCTGCAAGATGGGGGAGGTCGACACCACCTGGGACAGGCTCCTGGACCCGAGGCATCTGCAGGTGCCACTGACTCATGGATGAGTTCCAGAGGCAACACCTGGCGGCACTCCAATCCCTGGAGCAGACCATCGACCTCAGGCTCCAGGAGGACATCCAATTACATCGTGAGACCTGGCAGGAGCTGCTGGCGCAGGGCCACTCCCTGCACGTGGATGTGCATCCCTTGTCCCGAGAATGATGCCTGCTCCTGTTTTAGCCTCTGCTCCCGCTCCTGCTGTTGCTCCTCCTCCCACTCCCATCCCCGCTCTCCTTCCTGCTTCTCCCTCAACACCCTCCCCACTCCCATGGACACCGAAGCCCCCGCACCCGTGGCAGTGGGATCAGCAGAGCCAGGCGCCACTCCCAGCCCCAGCCCTGAGCCTCTCCTCGCCCTTCCTCCCACTTCCAGCTTCCTCTTCCCTCCTCCAAGGTTCTCACTCCCCCCTTCAACCTTCTCTTCTGCCGTCTTTCAGGTTCTTTCCCCAGTCTCTCTGACCCCAAATTAAAAATACAGAGGTTTTAGTTTTTCAAAAACAAACATGTCATTTATTTTTTCATCAGGAAAGGGGGGGAAGAGGGACGGCAGTGAAGGGTGAAGCAGATGCCTCCAGTGGGGCGGACCAAGGGAGAGTGTCACTGGTTTCCTGGGGAGAAGCTTTCCCTCAGGATCTCCTGGATGCGCACGGCTCCCTGATGGGCCTTCCGTGTGGCAGCCATGCACTGCTGTTGATAGGTCCTGCCTATGTGGTCAGCCTCCAGCCCCCACCTCTCTTTTAAGAGAGAATAAAAGGACTTGGACTTTTCAGCTTAGAAAAGAGGAGACTAAGGGGGAATATGATAGAGGCCTATAAAATCATGAACGGTATGGAAAAAGTGAATAAGGAAAAGTTATTTACTTAGTCCCACAATATAAGAACTAGGGGTCACCAAATGAAATTAATAGGTTGCAGGTTTAAAACAAATAAAGGGAAGTTTTTCTTCACTCAGCGCAGTCAACCTGTGGAACTCC